AATCCTTGAGTAATCCCTGAAAATCCCTAATAATCCTTGAGTAACCCTTAAATTTCCTTAATAATCCCTTAAAATCCCCGAAAATCCCTGAAAACCTTGAGAAAATCCTTCCTCTCTCCCACACCTGATCTCTTGTGAAGAATGAGAAGGTAAACAAGGTGTCTACTGAAGAAGGCGAAGCAGGGTGCATTAGAGGTACTGGCAGTGAGGGGCACCTGTGTGTGTGTGTGTGTGTGCGTGTGTGTGTCTGTGCGTGCGCGCGTGTAATAATAATAATAATAATCAACGGTTTATTGAAAGAGCTTGGCAGCCAGAAGGCTGAAAATATACAGTTACATATTTGGGGAATGGGTTACGAATTACAAATAATATACAAGTAACATAAGTGACACAAATAAGACATATAATAACTAGATGGGGAAAAGCTCAAACTACAGTTCATTTCAACATAGTGACAGTGCAAGGAGTAGTGTTTACTGGGAGTGAATACACTGATTTATTACAAGTTATTGATAATTTTTGATGTGTGTGTGTGTGTGTGTGTGTAAGTCGCCGTAATAACAAATATGAATCATGTTTTTCTTTTGTTGTTTTCTTGTGGGAACTTCCGCCATCTTGACTGGATCAGGTGACGTCACGGTCGATGTTGTTATATACGAGTGTTAGAGTGGCAGTAAGGGAGTGATTGTAGAGTGGTGGTAGCCTTGTCACTCAACAAAGGGACACTCACGGTACCAGAGACACTCACAGTAACAGAGACACTCACAGTAACAGAGACACTCACAGTAACAGGGACACTCACAGTAACAGGGACGGACATTTGGCAGGCGACAATCCGAGGGGTTCTCACTACGGCCTCCACCTGAATGTTGATGTGTTGAAGGACTGTACATGCCTCCTCTCTCTCCCTCCTTCCCTGTTTCTCCTTCCTCTCCTTCCTTTCCTTCCCTTCTTCCCTTCCTCTCCTTTTTTCCTCCTCCTTCCCTCTCTTTGTCCTCCTCCTCCTCTCCCACTACTGTAGCGTGTGTGAGTGTGTGACAGCGGACCTCTTTACCACCCTCCATCACTCTCACCTCTCCCTCTCCCCTGCCTCCATCACCTCCTCCTCTCCCCTCACCACCCACTCCACCCTCTCACCTCTCTCCCTGCCCTCCACGCATCCCTCTCTCCCTCTCTTCACCACCCACACCTCTCCCTCCCCCACCACCCTCCACCCTCTCACCTCCCCTCTCCCCCACCCCTCCCACCCTCTCACCAATCACCTAACAAGCGGCCGTCCACCACCACTTCCGCTTATATACCCTCTCCATATTTCCCCGGCCTCATCTCCACCCCGCACTCACACCTTTGGGCAACCTCCTGTCTCTCTCTCTCTCTCTCTCTCTCTCTCTCTCTCTCTCTCTCTCTCTCTCTCTCAATATCTTGGTTAAATAATGGTTCCTTAGTGTGTGTTCAATTCATCCGTTTGTGAACCGACGAATGGACGCTTGTACACAGAGTTGGAAGACAGACAGACTATAGAAGAAGTGGTGAATATGAGGCAGACGAACATAGAGAGATGAACAGAACAGTAGATAGATAGATAGATAAGATGGGCTGCAAGGTCAGACGGACGAACATACACAGGCCACACACGGAGAAAACCAGAACTGAAGGTCAGGCCAGGTATACTGATCTTCCTCCATCTCCTCTTCTCTTTCCCTCTCTCTTCCTCCTCCTCCTCCTCTTCTAGACCCCGTTCTTCCCTTCCCTCCACCTAGTATTGAGGCTCCGAACCCTGTCCCTGATTACTGATGACAACCCTCTGCCCCACCACTCCACGGCTCCTCTCTTTTGATCTATATACCGCTAAGGTGGAGATAGTCTCTCTCTCTCTCTCTCTCTCTCTTCTCAATCCAGGTCTTCCTACCACGCTCAGGCATTTCGCTGACAGCTGGAGGGGATATATAGATGGGTAGAATAGAGATGGTGAGTATGAAAGAAAGAGAAGTTTGGAGAAGAGTAAGGAGATGATGTTGAGGAGAAGGAGGAAGGGGGAGGAGGAGGAGGCAGCTAGGGAAGAAGAGAGGAAGAAGAAAGGGAGTGAACAGCTAAACTCTCTTGTGATCAAAACTTTAGAAATTGGGAAGTTTGTCAGTGTGTGTTTGTTGTGTGTGTGAGTGTGTGTTTGTTTGTTTGTTTGTTTGTGTGTAAGTTTCATGATCTGTTTAAGTGTACATGGTCGTGCATATAATTTAGACTTTAAGCTATTTCCTTACACACACACACACACACACATACCTACCTTACACACACATACCTACACACACACACACACACACACACACACACACACACACACACTTACACACACACACACACACACACACACACACACACACACACACACACACACACACACACACACACACACACACACACACACACACACACACACACACACACACACACACACACACACACACACACACACACACACACACAATGTACTACCACACCACACTTCTCGAGCATAAAGGTATTAACATTGTGGTATGGGCTCTTAAAGCAACCACCATCGACCCAAGAACATAGAATGGAGGTACAGCGGTTATTATTTGCATACTGAGCAGTCTCATTGCATTCAACCCTATTGTTCATATGAGCATCCAGCATGTTTTTGAAGCTATCCAGCGTATTTTTGATTAATGATGATGTTGTGGTAACTTGTTCCCATTCATCCACTACTCTGTTTTCCAAACCATTGTTTACCTATTTCGCGCCCTCGTCTAAATTTGTCTAATTTAAAACCATTGTTGCAGTTCGCCCTAGTTGGATAGTTTGAGTACCTTTATAATCTCCCCGGCCCTGACTTCCATTTTATACACCTCTATCAGGTCGCCTCGCTCTCTACGTCTCTCTCAAAGAGGTGCAAATTAAGATGATTTAACCTGTCTCTGTACTCAAGGTTCTATTTACCTCGAACGCAAATAATAGGAATGGGTTTGGATGGGAATGGATTAAGGAATGATTTGTGGATTGAACGATGGAATAGTAACAGATTAGGAATGCAGATTGAAGAAACTGATTGGAAATGAGGGACGGATTAGGGTTTTGTTACTAGATTGAAATATACTGAATTGATGTATATTGGATTAGAGTTAAGACTTGACATGCCTAACCTAACTAACCTAACCTAACCTAACCTAACTATTTATCAATGTCATTCCTCCCTTTGGTTGGCTTTCTATGGCACTTATCTCAATAGGTTGATTTAGCAGGTGAAAACACAATGGGGTTGGTATTGAAGGCAGGGTGGAGGATGCCCTTGACCTTAAACACTGTGACAGGCTATACACCTACCTAACAATTGCCACTTGCTAACAGTGATGCCTACCTAACAGTGCCACCTACCTAACAGCAGTGCCACTTGCCCTAACAGTACTACAGTGCCACCTAACAGTGCCACCTACCTAACAGTGATGCCTACCTAACAGTGATACCTACCTAACAGTACAATGCCTACCTAACAGTGCCACCTACCTAACAGTGATACCACCTACCTAACAGTGAATACCACACTAACGAACATTACCCCACACTATGGTGATACCTACCTAACGAGTGATACCTACCTAACAGTGATACTACCTAACAGTGCACCTACCTATAGTGCCACCTACCCTAACAATTACCCACCTACCTAACAGTGATTTGCCATTTTCCCTAACAGTGATACCTACTAACAGTGCCACCTACCTAACAACTTACCTACCTAACAGCAGTGATACCTACCTAACAGTGCTACCTACCTAACAGTGATACCTACCCCTAGCAGTGCCTAACTAACAGTGATACCCTGCTTAACAGTGATACCTACCTAAAACAGTGATACCTACCTAGCAGTGATGCCTACCCCTTAATTGCCACCTACCTAACAGTGATACCTACCTAAGAGTGCCACCTACCTAGCAGTGCCACCTACCTAACAGTGCCCACCTACCTAACAGTGATACCCACCTAACTTTAGTGATACCTACCCCTAACAGTGCCACCTACCTAACAGTGCCACCTACCTAACAATTGCACCTACCTAACAGTGCCACCTACCTAACAGTGCCCACCTACCTAACAGTGCCACCTAACTAACAGTGCCACCTACCTAACAGTGCCACCTAACTAACAGTGCCACCTACTAACAATTGCCACCTAGTGCCACCTACCTAACAGTGATACACCTACCTAACAGTGATACCTACCTAACAGTGATCCTACCTAACAACAGTGATTCCTACCTAGCAGTGATTCCTACCTAACAGTGATTCCTACCTAACTTTGGTTCCTACCTAACTGAACAGTTCCTGCCTAACAGTGATGCCAACTAACAGTGATACCCTGCCTAACAGTGCCACCTACCTAACGGTGCCCACCTAACTGACGAGTGCACCTACCGGATTCACTTAAGCGACAGTAAAACTTAAAGACACTATGGCCAAGATAGCGACAATATTTGCACTGAGACTCTACCAGGATTAGATGCGATTTTCTCTCTAAATCAACTTCAATAGTAATATGAGTAAATTGTGTGCGTGTGTGTGTGTGTGTGTGTGTGTGCTAGATGCTTATGTACATGTCATGAAAATAAACCACGTACACACACAGTTAGTCTCTCTCTCTCTCTCTCTCTCTCTCTCTCTCTCTCTCTCTCTCTCTCTCTCTCTACCTCTCTCTCTCTCTCTCTCGTTAATATAGGATGAGGGAGAATGAAATGTTTACTATGTATCCAGTGTGCTGTTCGCCCAGAGGCCGGATATGTGTGTGTGTGTGTGTGTGTGTGTGTGTGTGTGTGTGTGTGTGTGTGTGTGTGTGTATGTGTGTGTGTGTGTGTGTCTTATCCCTCCTCCCTCTTACTTCCCCCTACCCCTCTATCCCTCCCTCCTATCCCTCCTACCCCCCTATCCTGCTAACCCTACCTTCCCTGTCTCTGAGCACTACTTAACCACCACTGGACCTCCAGCGGAATGGGGACACTTTCGGGCTCTGACATCAGCCTGAAGGCTGAAAGAAGCTCCTGAGTAAGACAACAAAAGTCTCGCGCCAGAACTTTATCGACGACACCCTCGCCTCCATCGCCGGCCGCCTGTACCAGGTCTTGCCAAGGCCTGTGAGTATTAGTGACGTCTCTTTGTGAGTATTTGAGATTGGTGAGGTTTGTAGTGTTGTGGGGAGTTTGTGAGTGTTGTGAGGAGTTTGTGAAGTAATTGAGGGAGTTTGGTATTGGTGAGGTTTGTGAGTGTGGTGAGGAGTTTGTGTTGTGAGGTTTTGAGTAGTTTTGTGTAGTGGTGAGGAGTTTTGTAGTGGTGAGAGTTTGTGAGTGTGTTGTGGGGGAGATTTGTGAGTGATGGTGGGGAGTTTGTGTGTGTTTGTGAAGATTTGGGAGTTTTGTGAGTATTTGTGAGGAAGTTGTGAGTGTTATGATGGGTTTGTGAGTATTGGTGAGGGAGTTTTGTGAGTATTTATGAGGGAGATTTGTGAGTATTTATGATGGAGTTTTGTGTGTATTTGTGAGTATTTATGAGGGAGTTTTGTGAGTATTTGTGAGGGAGTTTTGTGAGTGAGGGAGTTTTGTGAATATTGTGAGGGAGTTTTGTGAGTATTTGTGAGGTCTCTTGTGAGTATTTTTGAGACAAGTGAGCTAAATCAGGAATGGGCAACCCGCAGCTTGTGGAGTGATTGAGAAATTATATTTAATGCGGCCCACAGTTCAGGTAGATGCAGCCAGTTTATGGTGAGTAAATCAATATTTATTAAAAGAATAATCTTCACACACAATTCATTACTGTTTCATCACCTAAGAGTAAGTAACTACAAAAATGTAACAGTGAAATAAGTATAAATAGTCAATGATATAAACATTTTAACTTGTGTGAGTTTACAGGCCAAGTTCGGCGCGGTCTGTGGCCTTGGGTCACTTGGGAATTAACTATGGTTGAGTAAGTCCAAGTGGGGTCACGGGCGGTGGTCACATAGGGTTTAACTAATGAAGTACTTCCAGAATAACACAAAAAACACCAAAATCGCACCTCGGAAACCATGGTTGGTGAGTAATTAGCTTTGAAATAATATAATTAAAATTTCCCAAGCGTCATTACGACCACTAATTACCCCGCAATCCAATCGTAGACCATAGATTCTGAATCACCATGCTCATGAGTACCTATAATGAGATTTTAAACGAAATCTAACATTGGGTCGATGTGCCTATAGGGTGTTTCACTGTATAGTTCCTCAGGCGCCAAGATTAACAGTACATTGTTCTGGTGGGTGCGTCTACAGTGTCTCGTGAGCAAGACAAATGCTGTAACTGTAGGACAAAATCAACATATTCACAGACTGCTTCACTCATCTGTTAAATCCCAAGAAACATTAATATATTACTTTAAACAAAAATAATAATGGATTTCTTTAATATATGGGGAAAAAAAACTGTGATTGTAAATTAAAATATCTTGAGGTGGACATGACGATAAACTGCTTCACTGTTCGTGCTAATACAATACTAACGTTACTTTTGGGTTCGGTAGGAAGTAACTTTTGGTGGGTTGGCCCGCAGAGAAACACCTAAATCGTAATGCGGCCCATGGCTGAGGGTAGGTTGCCCATGGGTGAGCCTAGAATTGATTTATGCAGACAAACACTCTGCGTGTTAAAAAGTATTATTCCAAAATGGCAGTGGAATCAAAATTCGACCTTTACTAGTGATAAGGGGAGGTGCAGGCCAAAAGTCTGCAGTATATTATGTGTGCACTAGAGGGGGTGTGTGTGTATGTGTGCTAGAGGGGTGTGTGTGTGTGCACTAGAGAAGGTGTGTGTGTATGTGTACTAGAGAGGGGTGTGTGTATGTGTACTAGAGAGGGGTGTGTGTGTATACTGAGGTTGTTATTGTTGTGTGTGTGCTAGAGAGGGTGTGTGTATGTGTACTAGAGAGGGGGTGTGTATGTGTACTAGAGAGAGGGGTGTGTGTGTATGTGTACTGAGGGGGTGTGTGTATGTGTACTAGAGAGGGGTGTGTGTGTGTATGTGTACTAGGGGTGTGTGTGTGTACTAGAGAGGGGTGTGTGTATATGTGTGCACTAGAAAGGTGTGTGTATGTACTAGAGAGGGTGTGTGTATGTGTGTACTAGAGAGGTGTGTGTGTATGTGTGCTAGAGGGTGTGTGTATGTGTACTGGTGTGTGTGTATGTGTGCACTAGAGGGTGTGTGTGTGTGTGTGTACTAGAAGGGTGTGTGTGTATGTGTACTAGAGAGAGGGTGTGTGTATGTGTATACTAGAGAGGGGTGTGTGTGTATGTGTGTGTACTAGGGGTGTGTGTATATACTAGAGAAGGTGTGTGTGTGTATAAAGGGGTGTGTGTGTGTACTAGAGGGGGTGTGTGTATGTGTGCTAGAGGGGTGTGTATGTGTACTAGAGAGGGGTGTGTGTATATGTGTTTCTAGAGGGGTGTGTGTATGTGTGTGCTAGAGAGAGATGACATGTGTGCTAGAGGGGTGTGTGTGTATGTGTGTGCTAGAGGTTATTGTGTATGTGTGTGCTAGAGAGAGGGGTGTGTGTGTGTGTGTACTAGAGAGGGGTGTGTGTGTGTGTATGGAGAGGGTGTGTGTATGTGCACTAGAGAGATTGTGTGTGTATGTACTCAAAGGAGGGTGTGTGTATGTACTAGAGGGTGTGTGTGTGTGTGTGTGCACTAGAGAGGGTGTGTGTGTGTGTGCAGGGGGTGTGTGTGTATGTGTGCACTGAGAGAAGACATGTGTATGTGTACTAGAGAGGGTGTGTGTATGTGTACTGGAGAGGGGGTGTGTACATGTGTCAGTTTGTGTACATAGGGCATAGATGTGTGGGTGCTTTTTTGTGTGTGTGTGTGTGTGTGTGTGTGTGTGTGTGTGTATACTGTGGTGCACGTATTATTATCCATTTCCCATACAACAAACTTACACAAACACACACAAACTTACTGACTACCCCCCGTTTGTTGAGGAAGAATGGCGGGAAATCAAAGTTCATACATTGAGAGGACATTTCTTAGCAATATGTATCGATCAGAAATTGAAAGCCGGTGAGTGGTGGGTGAAAGTAGGTGGGTAGAGGTGGTGCGGGTAAGTGATACTTTGCCTTGGCGAAACGCTACTGAAGGAAAATTGGTACACGTATCTATAAGGTAAACTTTCACGGAATATTTTTCTTAGATTTGGTTAGTTTTTGGT